TATGCGACAATAAGATCAGCGCCTATGAGAAAGGAAAGGACTATAAAACCGCTGTGAGACCTGCAATGATGTACGGAGTGGAAGCCTGGCCCATCAAAAAAGTATCAAGAGAAGAAATTAGAGGTAGCCGAGATGAAAATGTTGAGATGGATGTGTGGAGTGATGAGGCTTGATAGGATTAGAAACGAGAGGATTCGAGGAACAACTAAAGTGGTGGAAATATCGAAGAAAGTTCAGGAAAGAAGATTGCAATTGTATGGGCACATGATGAGGAGGGAAGATGATTATATAGGCAAGAGGGTTTTGGATATGGAGGTGGAGGGGAGAAGGAAGAGAGGAAGACCAAGGAGAAGATGGAAAGATTGCGTGGATGGAGATATTAGAGAGAAAGCCCGAATACGAAGACCGAGGAGAGTGGAAACGTGTTGTCAAAAATAGCGACCCCGTATAGATGCGGGAAAAGTCACAGAAGAAGAAGATACTCACCACAAGACCATATGCTACAATAAGATTAATTATACTTATCACAATACCATGTGCTACAATAGCATTAATTCTACTCACCACAAGATTATATACTACTATAAAATTAATTCTACTCACCACAAACCAAATGCTACAATAAGCTTATTTCCACACATCACAAGACCAAATGCTACAACAAGCTTATTCCACTCATCACAAGACCACATGCTACAATAAGATTAATTATACTCACCACAGTACCATGTGGTACAATAAGATTAATTCTACTCACCACAAACCAAATGCTATAATAAGCTTATTTCCACTCATCACAAGACCAAATGCTACAATAAACTTATTTCCACTCATCACAAGACCATATGCTACAATAAGATTAATTCTACTCACCACAAGACCATATGCTACAATAAGATTAATTATACTTATCACAATACCATGTGGTACAACAAGATTAATTCTACTCACCACAAGATTATATACTACAATAAGGTTAATTCTACTCACCAGAAGATCATGTGCTACAATAAGATTAATTCTACTCACCACAAACCAAATGCTACAACAAGCTTATTTCCACTCATCACTAGACCACATGCTACAAATAGTATTGTGGTAAGTATAATTAGTCTTATTGTAGCATATGTTCTTGTAGTGAGTATAATTAATTTTATTGTAGCATGTGGTCTAGTGATGAGTGGAAATAAGCTTGTCTTGTGATGAGTAGAAATAAGCTTATTGTAGCATTTGGTTTGTGGTGAGTAGAATTAATCTTATTGTAGCATATAGTATTGTGGTAAGTATAATTAGTCTTATTGTAGCATATGTTCTTGTAGTGAGTAGAATTAATCTTATTGTAGCATTTTTATTGTAGCGTATGGCCTTGTGATTAGTGGAAATAAGTTTATTGTAGCATTTGGTTTGTGGTGAGTAGAATTAATTTTATTGTAGCATATGATCTTGTGGTGAGTAGAATTAATCTTATTGTAGCATATGGTTAATTCTCCAAACACAATAAATGTACAAAGAAGTAAGTAACGATAGTCTTTATTAGTAACTCTCTAACAGAGGTTATATTTTCCTATACATTATCTATAGGCAGCATCTAATCACAAGAAAGTATATTACAGATGACTTTATCAGTTCTTTACAAACACAGTATATAAACACAAGAAAGTATGTTACAGTTGACTTTATCAGTTCTCCACAAACACAATATATATATAATATTTATAGTGTACCATATGTTATATTTTATAGAGTACGATATGTAATATTTATAGTGTACCATATGTTATATTTTATAGGGTACCATATATTATATTTTATAGTATACCATATGCTATATTTTATAGTATACCATATGTTATATTTCATAGTATATGATATGTTATATTTTATAGTATACCATATGTTATATTTTATAGTATACCATATGTTATATTTCATAGTATATGATATGTTATATTCTATAGTATGATATGTTATATTTTATAGTATACCATATGTTATATTTCATAGTATATGATATGTTATATTTTATAGTATATGATATGTTATATTTTATAGTATACCATATGCTATATTTTATAGTATACCATATGTTATATTTTATAGTGTATGATATGTTATATTTTATAGTGTATGATATTGAATATTCTATGGTGTATGATATGATTTTATATGATACAAGCTGAAATACCCATCAACTGATGGTGAATGTTTAAACTTAATTAAAACAATGTAAGTTTAAGAGCAATCATATATTTCAAAGTAATAATTTGAACATAAACTTTATCTTAAAATTTTAAAATTATAACAAAGCTTCTTCGTAAACAACATTTGCAGTTTCCTTTTGATCTACCAACAAATAAAGATTTTGAGCACCCTACATCTTATTGACCATGAGAAAATCATGGTTGTTTGAGAAACAATCCAACAACTTTGATACTCTGACCTTGAATTTCTTTAGAATATTCAATATTGTCTAAAGCATCAACCTGCCAAGATTGTTTGAGATTGACTCAATAGGCTGGGAGTAATTAACTAACAGGCTTTGCAAAATAGAAATAAGGTTAAGTTCAATTTTGATACCCTTAGGACATTTCCTATAGTTCGTAGTGGTTACACACAAATTTAGGTTGAGATTGATCCAATAAGCTCGGAGGAGTTAGGGTGCAAACAAACACACATTTCGTGTATATATATATATATATTACATATCTGCTCGTTTGTTAATTTCCAGTACAACTTCTTTCCGATGAACTTCAGCGATGCAAGTCCTTTCTTAATTCAAACTGTTTATTCTTTCTCGATACAACTTTTTTAGTACACAAAATTT